CACACACACACACACACACACACACACTCACACTCACATACACACGCACACACATTCTCCTGTCTATTGATGGGGAGCACCACCTGCTGGAAACTAGGTCCAGCGTCCCATGAACATCGTGAATAAAGCACCAACCGGGACCCCACACACACTCTCTTCGAGTTGTGTATAGCGAACATGACAAAACATACATACAGCATAATCATTACCTTACCCTTCCCGAACCACATCAACAAACGAACTACGGGCTGCGCACCCGTGCCCTCACGGTAAGTCATTTTTTTTGGACAGAAGGGCGCCGGGTCCAGGTTGAGTAGGCTCAGTTCTCGTGTTGTAAGGGCATCTTACGGCCCAGGATTCATCCTCCTTTTTCTCCTTTTCCCACCTGCCTCCCTCCACTCCTCACCAAACATGCAAAAATGAGAATGAATCTTCCCCTCGAACATGGAAAGATACAACACCCTATTTTTTATCCAGCAGTCCAGCCAGGCCTGGCGGAGTTAGGCGCGTCCCTCCTGGCCTCCCGCTGCCCCTACTGCCACTTTCTTGGCGAAAGCGTCCCTGGCCTGGCGGAGTTAGGCGCGTCCCTCCTGGCCTCGCGCTGCCCCTACTGCCACTTTCTTGGCGAAAGCGTCCCTCCTGGTTTCCTATTGCCCTTACTGCCACTTTCTTGGCGCTTGGGACTCTCATGCTTCACGCTGCCCCCATGCCACTTTCTTGGCACTTCGCGCATCCCTCTTGGCTTCATGTTGCCCTCCTGCAGGAGCCAGGGCGAAAATGGAGAAGGCGCTGACCTCGAGGGGGGAAAAGGAAAAAAGGGGAAAAAAAAGGGTTGTATTCGAATAAAACAGTTTGTCTTATTGAAATTAGATTAGAGCACATATGTTTTTTATTTAAATACAATGCACATATGCGTTGTATTCAAAGTGCCCTTCTATTTGAGGAAAAGCTGCTAATTGTCCAAAAAACGGTTTTCTGGGAAAACTTGGATACAACGCATATGTGTTATGTTCGGGGGAAGAAGGTATTAGTTACCATACGATGCCTCCAGTCTATGTGTGGGAAGATGCACATGCTGGGAACCGGGCCCAGCGTCCCATAAATAACCAATTGACATAACAGTTAAATAATGGCACAGCTCTCAGGCCTCTTCACCCATCTCAGGCCGCTAGATAACACATGAACAAATCTAGCTCAACTATACTTTTCTAGTCCGAATACGTACTGTTCAGAACGATCCAAGATTTTCAAATCTCTACTGAAAGATGAGAAACCATTCATCCATTCCAATGTTTGTGTCATCTTGAACATGAAGCAGAGACAGCATGCCTTGTGAGGTATCATGCTGCTGTCTGCGATCGGAAAACCTTC